GTCCAGCGGTTGTTTCATGGTTCAATCTGTGAGTAAGCCATGCCCTGACTTTGATCAGCCAAGAGGTTGTTTCAGTGTTTGATCTGTGAGTAAGCCGTGCCCTGACTTTGATCAGCCAAGAGGTTGATTTAGGGTTCAATCTGTGAGTAAGCCGTGCCCTGACTTTGATCAGTCCAGAGGTTTTTTCATGGTTCAATCTGTGAGTAAGCCGTGCCCTGACTTTGATCAGCCCCCGGGGGGGTACTACCACCCCAATTTGTGTAGGGGTGTGCCGCCAGGACCTCAAAACCCTGACCCTATCCCAGACCTAAAAATTTGATTTTACATACCCTACCCCAGACTAAAACTAAGAATTGTACACCCTATCCCAGATTAAAGGACGGAAAAGACGGTTTTTCAACAGATTACAATCAATATTTACTAACGTTTTTATTGTTTTTGGTCGGCAGAAAGCGTAACCTATACGCCATACAAAAATGACCAAATCGTTAACCCTATCCCAGACTAAAATGATACCCTATCCCAGACAAAATGTCAAAAAATGATACCCTACCCCAGACCCAAAAGCCGAAAAACCATACCCTATAGGGCGGCACATACCCGTATAGCAAATATAGGGGAGTACCCCCCCGGGGATCAGCCAAGAGGTTGTTTCAGTGTTTGATCTGTGAGTAAGCCGTGCCCTGACTTTGATCAGCCAAGGGGTTGTTTCAGGGTTCAATCTGTGAGTAAGCCGTGCCCTGACTTTGATCAGTCCAGAGGTTAATTTAGGGTTTGATCTGTGTCCTGAATTAAAACAGCCCAAAGGATGTTTCATGGTTAGATCTGTAAGTTCATTATTTTCAGGGTTCAATAAAACTGTACATTGAATCATTATTGCTAATTGTTGATCTTGTAATTGTTTCTAGATGGTAGAACTGAGCTGGAGAGAACAGCCTTGTTGTGTCTCAGAATGATTGAAGTTGCACTGGAAAAACAAGGCCAGTTCATGGACATGTTACGCTCTGTCCCTCAAGCCACATCTGTGATGTTAAATGCCCTGGATCAGCTACTTATGAGTATTAACCCAAAAAGCCAGTCTGCCGACTACCTCCTAAAGATTGCAAGGTAAGAGGGGTAGGGAGGGTGGTTTGACACATTTCGATCATGGTGGGGTGGGTGGGGGAAACAATTGTTGGATCAGCTACTTATGAGTATTAACCCACAGTCTGCCGATTACCTCCTAAAGATTGCAAGTTAAGAGGGGTAGGGAGGGTGGTGTGACACATTTTGACCATGGTGGGGTGGGTGGGGGAAACAATTGTTGGATCAGCTACTTATGAGTATCAACCCACAGTCTGCCGATTACCTCCTAAAGATTGCAAGGTAAGAGGGGTAGGGAGGGGGTGTGATATATTTTGACCATGGTGGGGTGGGTGGGGGAAACAATTATTGGATCAGTTACTTATGAGTATCAACCCACAAAGCCAGTCTGCAAACTACCTCATAATGATTGCATGGTATGAAAGGGAATAAAATGAAATGAAAGGGGGAGGGGAGGGGGAATAAAAGACATGTTTTGACCAGGGGGGATCGAGTGGGGTGGGGAAGGAAACCATTTCTGGATCACCTTTTTTCACAATCATATTAGGTAAATAAATTATATTATATTCATAATTATCTTAGTAGACTTAAAATTTCCTGGGTATGAGATGTTAAGCATCTGTTATTCTATTAGGTACCTGACCATTCCTCACATCAGTCCAGAACTCAGTCTTTCAGCCATCAAGGTGTTGTGCCAAGTGTGTCAATCTCAGGCTGTCCAAACACACCTGGTAGGATTACTGACAGCAAACAAGGTAATTAGCACAACACAAATACTTGGAAATGGAGAAAAAAGTATCCATGAATGTTGAACTTGAACTCTGGTTTATTTAACCACAGTTATGTTCAGCTGCACACAGGCTATATCACTCTTGGTTTAGTTAGGTTTTCATTGAAATCCATTTTTCCAATTTTCTTAATGTTTCTAAAAATCCCTCTTAATTCCATGAAAGATTCCTTGGTGGCATGGGTGTTTTAAACTCCTAATGCATTTTCCTCTCGCCAATGCTTAATTGCAATCGGAGTTGGTGGTTTGAGCCCTGCATGCCCAACACATGGGTTAAGTTTGTTTGATGTGTTGTTTTCTCCTATGCTATGAGGGTTTTCCTCTAGGTTCTCTGGTTTTTCTTTCCTCCGTAAAAGTCAATGCGTTGGTTGAAGGTTGTACAGTAGTAAGTAAAGTGTGTCTCCTCCTTAAACATTAGCCCTCTGGCTATGGAGACTTGGCAATGACTCACCGTATCACAACATAAAAAATAAAATTTTACAAAAACAAAACATCAATTTCAATAGAGTAAGTATTGATCAATGGCCTTGTAAGACATGCCAATAGTTTAGTTATCAAATAATAATGCTCTTTGTCATTTCCCAGGCCATGTCTCTTCAGATTCTCATTGGTTTTGTTGAACATCTTGATATCAATGAACCAGAAGAATCTCTGACTAAAGATTTACAGGAAATTGGAGAAGGTAAAATGATGATGTCATTTAGATTTCTTTGAGTGCTAATTATGGTTTTTCTGGTGCACAGTATTTTTTGATCCTGATTTCGACTTTAGTGCTAGTGTTTAAACTAAACTTTAAAACTCCTGAAGTTTAGAATTCGTTGAGAAGCTCTTGTACATGTACATTTAAAAGTGAATGGTCCTTGAAAATAACCCGAAATTTAATCGAAAAAAAACAAAAACAAAAAATCTCACACACGAAAATCATACAAAAATCAAACAAAATCCAAGTTTCAAATTACAATACAGTTTATTGATTCTCCCAAATTGCTCTTTCAGGTTTTTTCAAAAAACTATTCACTAGCGAAATTACCCTGGGCTCCAGGGCCGGTTGTACGTAGTGTGGATAGCGCTATCCGACGGATAAAACTTATCCAGTGGATAAATTTATTGGGTAACAGCATCAACTTATCCACTGGATAAGGATTAATCCGTTGAATAGCGCTATCCACCCCTCGTGCAACTGGGCCCAGAGGTTCTATTTCGCTCAGAGAGAGAATAAATAAACTCGGTACCCAAGTGTATGGTAGAGTTAAAAGCAAAGGAACATCCAAATAGATTAATAGATTGTTCAGTATTCAGTAAATTGTAAACGGTTGCTATCTGTGGTCCACTGACATCACTTCCAATAGCATTCCCACTTGAGGCTTGACCTGACTTTTTCATAAATTCAACTACTTATCTCTTGTCACATTAGAATATCTTGACGAGAAATCTTACGGTACCTCTCAACTGCGTAACGCCACCCGTCAGAACATTGTTCGCTTACTGCTGTACTCACTGGACTTTCCCGCACCAAACCTGGCTCATTTCTTTCTTGGTTATGAACTGAGACGACCTGTGGCCAAAACTAACCTACAACTGCCAGGTAAGGGACTGATCTTGAATTAACAGGGGGAGGGGTGGGGAGAAAAGGAGAGTCACGACACTGTTAACCTCCTCTGATAGACCCCTCGCAGCTCTTCGGAAAGCAGCTTAATTTGAAGGACAAATCAATAGGTTTCCAATTCTCAGGTGATTGAAATTCTTTCGTTTTGTCCTTCAAATTGAGCTGCTTTGACGTCACATGCGGGCGGTCTATTGGTGAATCATGAAGAACATAAATACTGGAAAAGAAGGATAAGTTTTGAGTTCACAACGAAGGCTTCATGCAGGAGGATATTAGTTTGAACATAGTGTGGTTTGAATGATTGGAAACAGGGATGCATGTCTGCACTCTGCAAAGGAGAAGGACGAAAATAGATCTCTCTAACTTGGGCGTAATGTTTTCCCATAACAGATCACCTCATTCCCTATAGTCTCTTTTCTTTGTTTTACGATTGTGCACGAGAAGACACACTCATATGGGTACAACTCAAACAAAGAATGTTATTGTCAGGGAATGACGCGTGTTCTGAAATGGCAAAACATTAAGCCCAAGCCGAAAAGGTTTATCGTCTTCATTCATTTAGCATGTTTCACAATCACTGGGACTCCCATTTTAAGTATTGGTCAACCTCATTCATACCTTCCCATTTCTCCGCCCAAATGCATTTTCATTGTATATCATTCTTTTCTCTATTGATTACAGGAGTTCTAGGTGCACCCAAGACATGCCTTCACGCCATCCTGCAGCTCATCAACAACGGTGTAGAAACACACAGGGGCCCCACGTGCATCACAGAAGCTCCACGATTCGCAGAACTGGCCTATAAACTCATCTACCACCTTTGTGCCGACAGAGACACGTCAATGCCAACACTACGATACTTAAGAACAAGTCACGACTTTCTCCACCAACACCTCCAACACTTGCCATTCAATAAACTGGTTGCCATGGAGATAGAAGAAGGGTTAGTGCCAGCCTTAAGTGTGATGAATCAACAGTCATGGCTATTGAAGACGGCCGCTATTGAGTTAAAGGTGACTGCGCAGAGCCGACAAAGATCGCATGCGCAGAGGTTGCTTGCCTTGCTACTGAATGAGCCATCAGCTCTTGGAGCACTCACGTCATCCCTGATGCCTGATCTCTCGAGAACTATGAATGAGGACACCACTGCCATGAATGCCAGCCAGAGTCTTTATCAGACAAGCCTCTACGGTGCAGAACCAACAACAAATCCATTACAGATGCGTAGAAAGATTCTTAGTTTATTGGACTCCGTTGACTTCACTCATCAATTCCCAGACGTTCTTCAGCTGAATTACTTCAATCAAGGAGTCACTGAAAGAGTGATTGCTTCGTGTGAACAGAAGTCCGATGAAACTGGAGTAGTATACTGTAATGTTCGTGATTTGCATCGCTTGTTGAATAATGAGATCACTAGCGTCCAAGGGGCGGCTACCGCTGGACAGAAGAACTTCCTACTGCAGGCGAGTGCTGTTCTTTAAATAAGCTGTCTGTTATCCTGGGTTTTATTCTTGATTGTTTTGCTAAAGCGCTTATGAGTTACTATGGACCTTCATCACACGACGGCCATGTTAACTCATGAGAATAAGATCCTTTGTTTAACCTTAAATATTTATCCTCAAGCATCTTGAATGCAAAGGCTACACGTGGTGGAATCTATAATCGCCCCAGGCATCACACACTTCTGAATCATATATCCACAAATACGTCAGCCTTAATGATTGGCTGATAGAAGTGCTGATTTACAGGAAAATTCTGAAATCACTCGTACTTGATTGCCGATTGGCTGAGAAGAGTGTTGAATCTCCATAAGTACCTTACAGTGTGACTCCACGTATTGTCATGGTAACCCCGTATTTTGTTTATTTCTACAGGAAGTGAAAGAAATTCTCGAGCACGTGGTTGAACGTAACATAGTCCGTGAAAATCTCCAGGGCAAGAAGGAAACATTTGAATCATGGCGGCAGGTGGTGGAAGTTATCTTGGCAACTTGTTCGCATGACATTTTACCACGCGATACCAAACAAGCTGTGATATTGGAAATCCTGCAGGACCTGTTGATGAAGATTGCACAAGATAACGCGCTAACAGAGCTCACCTCACCTGTATCTGGGGTTATTCTTACCCTTATGACACATCTTCGCCACAGTACCCTTCCTTGGGATACCCAGGGATCTTCTACCTCGAATCTAAATGGCACCACACAGGGATCCCAGTCAATGATACTTCGTGGCACCAGTACACCATCAGGACCTTTGTTTGCGATACTAAGGGGAATAATCGAGGCGGTGCTGAGATCAGGTGGGGGACTACAACGAGTAAGGGCTAATCTGTACGCAGCGATGTTGTACTTCATGCAGATGGCTCAAAAACCACAGGGATCCCATGCATCCAAGGGAGTCCTGGAAGGCGTGCTGTCTCAGGCTGGGGAGTCATGGGAGCTAGGCACTCTGTCGGTGCTGTCGAGTTATGGTGAACCCTTAATGGAGGTGATCTGTAGAGACGCATGTGATGGTCATGATGTTGGACGGATGTTAGCGTTCTCGCTGCTTGATTCCATCGTCACAATTGACTGGCAGAATCGATGGCTCAACTACTTCAACATGAAGGGGTTCTTGAGAAACATTATCGAGGGACTCCTACAAGAAGACGACAGGCTTCTGGCCATGTTGGACCCCTCACCCGAACCCTTAAAGGCGCTTTACATCTACGAATCCAAAATGGCCCTTCTAACTTGCATAGCTCAGACCCAAGAAGGGGCCGAAGTTCTTCTACAATCAGGCCTGATGTCGAGGCTCGCAGAGTGCAATTTCTTGAACCGTCGGCCTGAGTACGAGTCACGTGGGAGCGTCAGTGATGGATACTCACGTGATAGCTTTGTTCCCTCGGTGATGGAGAGATATCGTCAACTGTTGCTTCCGGCTCTTAAGGTTATGGGTGCTGTACTTACGTCACTGGGTCGTGGACATCGAGAAGCGTCAATGAAGGTAAGGAATGGCGACAAATTTACATTTTTCTTTAAGGGGAAGAACATCGGGCGTATTTGTTATAACAGTTTGCTCAAAAAAAAAATTCTCTAGATAGATTATCCGAGACACCTCTCACTCATTGGTATAGGCGGTTTCTGAGATCAGTTTAAGATAAATAGTCTTCAGTTCTACAGTTTGCACGCATACAACTTACCTAAACTTGCCATTAACACTGGTCGATGCCAGAATCAGAAAGGTATCCGACAGGTATGCAAAAAGCGTCAGGTTCAGTTAAATAGACCCTTTTCGAGTTCCAAATTACCGCTGTGTTTCTTGATTGCGGACTCATTTACTTATCTTCGATTTCGTGAAGAATATTCACGTGTTCCAGTCAAGGTCCGTCAAGTTTCAAAGTGTTCGTATTGTTGAACTTGTGCATTCTTTACTTTACCGTTGGTATTTGCGAGTAATTAGACACTGATTCGAGGCTTAGCCTGAACAAATGAGTCTGTAATCAAGAAACACAGCGGTAATTTGGAACTCGAAAAGGGTCTTGTACGCGTACAAATCGTAAAAAAAAAATGAAATTAGTTAAACTCACTCAAACCTAAAAAGTACGTATGATATTTGTTTTCCTCCCCCAGGTTCTCGGCGTCGTAGTTGCGCACTCTGATGTTTTCATTAGTATTCTACATGACAGGCAACCCATGCATACCTCTGCTTCCCTGCAAGAATTAGCCCTAGTAACTTCGATCATCTGCAACGCTGGTCTCACAGAAACAAGTCTTCTCGAAGATGAGTCCTTGTTAGAAGATGAGATAAGGTTTCGAGGTCCTTTGGCCAGAATACAAAGACTAATGATGGCTTTACTGCCAAGATACTGCTCCAAGGACTATTGGGATAAGGTAGGTGGCAAAATACGTGTGCAAAGGGGGAGATATATAAAAGCTGTTATTTATGGAATAGAGGCTTTGCACCGTCACGTGACGGCAGCCCTGTTAGATGCAGGAAAAATACAATCGTTTTACATGAGAAATTCAATTCCCGAGAGCAAAGGGATTTTATTGTTCTGCCGTCTAGCCACAGGCAGCCCAAGCTGTCTTATGGGCGCTGGCACGTGATGTTGAAAAGCCTCTATTGCTGCAATTTTCAATATTACACGAACTCAAGGCTTTGAAATATTTAAATATAAACTTGTTATCACTTTTTGCCAACGCAAGTACGGCAGTGATGTGCATTATAGTCCTTTCCTTATAGTCCTATCAAATAGTGAAGATATCCCGAGGCAAGAGAATATTCTCTTGCCCGAGGTTAATAGCGGTCTGTTCATTCTTTTTAACTAACCTTTTCTTTTGTCTTTTGATTGTTTGTTTTTGTTTCCTTGCCTACCTTGTTCTCATTGGTTTCTTTTGTCTTATTCTATCATATATACACTCCTTTCTACCACCTCTTTCTCTTTTACTTCGACGAAGGACTAGCGTCCGAAGTGTCAGTAAGTTTTTTCATCTTTTCACGGTGTATAATTTACCTTTTCATCATTATTCTTTTTAACGGCTTATTATCAAGAGATGCTTTAAAAAGGCGTCGATGAGGTTCATTGATCTCTAGATAACTGACTGGCTAACTGATTTAACTATGGTATTTTTCTAACTCCAGGTTATCAAGTCTGCTATGGAACAGAACCTCCATGGATTCGAACACGAAACTCCAAGCGTTAAACTCAGCATCGCTGCTCTGGAGACCGGCGTCAAACTGCATCAGATATGTTCTAGTATTGTAGCCTACTGCAGGACAGTGGTCAATGATGCAGGTTGGTGATTTACCTTTATTTAGAATAACTAGTAGTTCCCCGTAAACAATTCACAACTTATCAAAGACTATCTTGTTCAAGAAAGCTTTTTTGTCACCATCTTAATATTGGTCTCCCTGTGGTGGTTTTGGCGGGAAAACACGCAAGTTTATTCGAAGTAACAAACATGGTAGCGTTCTGAGCTGAGAAACGTGCGGTTTTTCTAGCAATTCCCAAAGGTGAAGCTTTTCGAATAAAAACTAAAATGTGCCAGTCATCCTCGCCATAATGTATAGAAATGGCGTAGTTTTGGTATTTTTTAGCCTATCCGTTTTTTCAGCACGGCTTCTGTCTTACCTTATATATGATATGATAATAAGCCGCCGTGACGCGGTATATTTTTTTGTACAGAACTTCGTTGTGCGCAACGGCGTTTGGTGGCAGGTTTCTGTAAGATAAAAAGTTGCCATGTGTTTCAAATTCTTGGGGTTCATGTGTTGTTATAGACGTCATTTTGGTTGACTTTGACAAAAAAATGGCGGACCTTAATAAAATCATTGAATTCTGTGTCAGGTTCATCTGGGCCACAGTACCACGTGGTGTTTGGACCTAGTCTAATCGACGCATCTTCCAGAGAAAGCAGACTACGAAGAGACGGTAAGTAGAACAATGTCCTTGACTTATCAAGGTATATACTGTCTGATCATAGTCTTGTTGCCAGCCATAGAAGCAAGGAGCTCAAATTCCGTAGAAGTGGTGTGCCCTGATAATGCGCTACGTCTTATTTTGGTCATTTTTTAAAATCTTATTCCACTTTACCACTTTGAGGTGGATGGAAAGCCTTACAGGTCTATAAAACCCAATTACGAGACAACTGGTAGATTAAATTAGAATTTGGAAGTTGGTTTTTATGGAGGGAGGAAAATTTAAGAACCCGGAGGAAAACCCTCGAAGCACAGAAGAGAACCAACTAAAAACTCTATTCACATACAACACGGAGCGGTGGGGCTTGGACTCGGGTCGCATTGGTGATGCCAATGTATGAGGAATGTTGATCGGTTCTTTCCTGCACTTTTAGAGTCTTTCTCGTGTTGCTTTTCTTGCAGTGTTGGCTTTTCTCCTTCCAAAAAAATGTTCAATTTTCGATTTCCCGGACGTTTTAATCGAGGGCAGCAAAAATCTATCAGATTTTCCGTCTATACTACTGAGTTGTAAAGACATTTTAATCAATGAAATAATAGTGTCAGAAAAAAGAGGGTTACTAAATTCTTGTCTTTCCAGGCTTCCGTACTCCTCCCGTGCAATCTCATCGTCCACCTAGTCTGGGTATTCTAGTCAACGTGGTCAAGGAATGTACTGAGAGAGCTTTCAAAGCCGTAGAGACGCATAAACAAACAAACATGAAACTAGAAAACATCCACGAACTAACGAGTGAAGAACTCAAAGAGGTAAGACATTAAGAGAGGATGTCAGCAAAAATCGACCAAAATCAAAT